TTTCCTCTTATCTCTCAAATAAATGCAGGTTAGGTTTTATCAGATACTTTAAATTGGCCTTTTTCAGTTTTTCAGTTTCTGTTTGTTCCTTTTTCCCATTTGCTGAATGAATATGGCTTGGAATGCTGTATCCTGGTCATGCATGTCTTTCATTATACTGTAGATATGAATCAATTACAAGACCAAGCAAGGCCACACATTACTAATATAATGTTAAAATCATTAGTCCTTACATTAAAACCTTAAATTTCACAAGGGAACATGAAGTGTTTCAGGAACACTTAAAAAAGAAAAAAAAATTAAAATAAAATACTTAAGCAAAATCTGGAATTCCAATCAGGAACAGCAAAAGGACAAAACCTGAATTGCTGTGAGCTTTTAAAATAAAAAACATAAAACCTTTAAATGTTAATAAAATATTGCAGTGAATGCTTTATTTTTTTACTGTCAATCTTTTGAAAATTAACTATATAATTTTTGCAAGGTTCTAATGAGATATTTTTTTAATGTCTATGTCTCTGTGTCTCATATATCAAATCATAGTATTAATCTCAGATTGCCAGTTTCAATTTTCAAGAGTCAGGGTTCTCAAAAATACTTAGTTGAAGTGTTCTGCCATGTCAATGTGACGCATAAGCACAGGCAAAGTTAAAGGCCATGTTTCAGTAGCACTATGTGGTAGAAAGCAATAAGGAGAGACTAGAATTCTAGACAAAGTAACAATGTGGACAGAATGAAAATGACTTTTTCTCAAAATACTAGTTTGTCACCATCACACCTTTGAAAAAAAAATAGATCCATCTCCCAGTCTCTTTTTGTCAGTATGTTTTCCTAACGTACTGACTGGATTTGTTTCTCAATCAATTATTGTTCTCATTTACTTGTGTCAGAGTCCTGAAACCATTGTGAGAGGATGCATACAGAAAGATGTGAAAAGATCATGGCCTTTAGAGACCATCTTTCTGTATCGCCGATGTGAATGGCTGGGCATTTTCTGCATGAGATGCAGTAAATGAGGTTGTTGGATAAACATGATGTCCTCTGGGTGACAGGGAATTGTCCAGAGGGGCTTTGAATGTGCATTGTATTGGATATACTGTACATTTGCAGATGATGCAGCAGATTCTGTTGAAGGGGAGAGTGTCTGGTCTAGATGGTTGCTGTGAGGTTAAGCGAGATTTATTACTAATATTATTATTAAAAATAAACATAAATATATAAACACCAATTTACAATCCTGTATAACTGTGAAAATCCACTAGGATGTAGAGGGTAAATAAATGCTCATAGTTACCAACAGTGTTGTTAAATAGAAGGATTATGTAATGATGACTCATTATAGGACTTGATCACAAGGCTGTGGTGACATCCTGAGATTGGCATGCAGAATTACATTTTAAAAACACATATGAAACCCAAACAAATACCTTTAGATAACCTTCCCTCCACTGTCCTGATGCTTTCTGGCAGGTACTTTCACAGCCCCACAGACAGTCCTGAGTTATTATACGATCCTGCTTCAGTGATGAATGGGGATACACTGAAGTTTTGTCAAAAAGAAGCCTGGTGCAAGATGGCTTTTTATGTGCTTTCCTTCTTCTACTATCTGTACTGGTAGGTTTATTCTGTACTACTTGATTCCTATCACATGACCAATGTGCAATTAAATTTTTCCTGTGTTTCTAAATATATATATATATTTTTATTCTGAATTGTGTTGCATGTCTATGAATGTTGGGTTAGTGGCGGAGTCTAAAACAAAGACAAAGAGGCATCTGATACTGAAACATTTCAAAATTAAATGAATGATTCATGGCATTTATCTCAGAAAGGATTCAGAAAACTTACTTTAGATTTAAATTTAGATTTACAGTGATTTTAGGGCTTGTTGTGTTGTACTTAGTGTAGCTAAATCTGATTATGTTTGCTGAAATGTATAATCTTATCCATGTAGTTGCTAGGAGCATGTCATGTCAAACATGCTTGACTCATACTTCATTCTTCAGGTGTGTACGTAAACAATTGGGATTTTAAAAATACTTTTTCTGTCCTATGCAGCTCTTGTTTTGAAGGATGTTTCATTTTTGTCTTGTTTCATACAAAAGGACTTACTGAAAAAAAGGTGCAAGCGCTCTTGTGAAATCCGCAACTCTTAAATATAATAATAATTGCTTACACTTTCTGGACTCCACTCAAAGTGCTTTACAGGTAATGGGGACTCCCCTCCACCACCACCAATGTGCAGCATCCACCTAAATATACAGTACATGGGTTGTCTGCGCCCATTTTATTGTCCGCTCTATTGTGTATTGTCTGCTCTAATTTTAATTGGAGATTTAAAATCTTGTAGATGTGGAAAATTAATCATGTAGACGTTTTACAAGACATAATTGGACTTCTAAACAAACAGGGAATTTAAAATTGTAGAGACTTCACACTGCTTTTACTATTTTTCATTTCTGTATATCTACATTTTGGGTTTTTTAACTCTGAATGCAAGGATATTTGCTTTCAACAACAAAGTAATTGTAAGTTACTGTTAAAAACCTGCTGCTGAGAGCAAACGATCATATCAACTTTCTCACAGGTTCAGTAACTACAAGAGAAATATAAAATGTATACAAAGGTAAATGTTTTGTGCAGAGTAGATGGCAAACACAACCTACTTTTTTTTACTTCACAATCAGGGAACTTTTTTTTTTTTGCTTTTCATTATCAAACATTGCTGTTTTGTAACAATGGGAATCACTCATTGATATGGCCAAAAATATCGCTTCATTTTAAATTGAACTGAGCCTGACATCAGTTTACAATTTATTTGACAGTAGTTTCTCCTGTAATATCAAAGTATGTGTAAATCTCCAGTGTAGACCTCATTAAAAACAGCACAAGATATTTTACTATGCATCCATTGGCAAAAAACAAGAGTATTTATTATATTATCTTAGCACTTTGAAGATGTAAAATACTCTCCCGGGGGGAGTTTTTTTAAGATGACCTTTATGCTTCTTCAGTGTCTGTTTGGTGCTTTTGTCACAAGAAATCTTGTCGCCTCAGTGGTTTCAAAACATTTGAATGAAGCTGTTGAACTTTTTATAAATTACTCCTCCTTTAAATAGGCCATGGGAGTGAATATGATCTGAAAATATATCCTACACTGGCATTACTCAATTGTCCATGCATTTTCTACATTGTTGATTATTATTTACCAAACCTACTGGTGTACGCCAGAATGAAAACAAACAGTCCTTGTTGAAACAAGAAGAAGCTGGCAAGTTCAATTTAGATACATGTGCTGCAGGGTGTGCTTGCAAATTGTTTAACGAAAGTGAAGATTAGTGTTTTATTCTGCCCCAAAGACCAAGGTTAGACAGCTTTGAATGTCTGAGTTTAAAGCTTAGCAGGTACAATATATTGGCATACACATGATACTGGGCATAGAGAAGTATTCAGTGCCAATGGACACTGACAAATACTGTAACTTGTCAGAATTGGGCAGGGCTTCAGCTGGCTACTTTACATACTGTACAACTTGTTCTTTTCATAATCATTTAATCCTTCTGTATAAAGCAAGGTTATGTGTAGTCTGTACATAATAGATCTCGCATGGCTACAGAATGTGTATTAAATCTGTGATTTGACTTTTTCTCATTAATCATCAGCATATAGATAAAACCTTATAAATAGTGGCTTTAGTTTTGAATAAATAGAAGACATATTTGCTCTTCAGCAGTCTAAATACAGGTCTTGGATATACATTATGTCCGGCACAATGATTGTAAAGTTGTTATGGTGAAGAATATGTAAGATGTAATTTAGGTTCTAGTTTCTGTCTGATGTTGAAAAGCCACATCAGCGTGTTCATGTTTTCTGTGTAAGAGCATTTGGTGTAGATGGTCAATAAATGTGGAAGAAACTGCATCATGTCAGACCTGCAGCTGTACCAGCTGTAATTTGCTGATTTTGGAGCTAACTACAATCTATTAATAGAGACATCAGTATTGTCTGAATATGTTTTCTTGCTTTCATCTGATGTCTAGAAATCTTCACCCACAGAGGGGAACAAAGGAAGAATGAAGATTAATGGCAATAGTCTAATGGCAAACTGTTCTTGGCACCATATGTGGTAGTGCAGTAAAAAGCACTAATTAAGTTGTATTTCTATTGTTTATGAAGGCAACATAAGCCTTCAGACTCATTAGCTCATCCTCAGTGGCAGGCTCTAATTTTCTTCTGTCAAATCCCTGTATAATAATCTTGGCAAAAGCAATATTACAGACTCTAGTTCTAGATGTGTGAGCATCTGCATTACATTACATTAGTTAATGATATTCACTTTTCTTTTTATTCCTTAACACTGCTAACCAGGGTAGTCTCATTTATAGTATAATGCAAGTTCTAGTGAGTCTGTGAGAATCTGCCAGAGCTACTGTAGGCCTATCAGTGTTTTTCACACAGTGTTTTCAGCTTGATATGCAACAACAACATCAAGTCTGTCAGACATCCGTGAGCTTGCAATGAAGCACATTCACACAAATAACACTGCAATCATCATTTCCATTCAATTACTAGCAGGAATAAAACCATTGTTAGAGCAGGATTGGAGGAGAGCATTCACAATCGTCTTCCTCCATCTGCTAGCACAAGGGTTGATAGCAGATATATAAACAGTTATCAGATGCAATTTGGGAAACTTAAAATGTATTTGGAAAAAGCACAATCCTATAACAATGTATTGCTGGTGATCTATTCATAATGGTGTAAAATGTCATTAATTCTAGTTTAGTGGTGTCATAATTACCACATACTGTACATAACACATAAGAAATAATGCCAATCTGTTTTTCTTGTAAAACAGATGTGTTCATAAATGTGTATTGAAGTCATCAGAGTTTATTCAAAAGGCTTCTAAACAACTTTTCAATGATGTCTCCATTTAAGCCATTTGCAAATATTGTGGACTTACAGATATTTGTTTTTCTTTGTCTCTCCCCATCCAGTATGATCTACACTTTGGTAAGTTCATAACCGGTCGCAGCATCGAGGAGAAGAATTTTAAATCAGAGAACTCCCCAGGACAAAGAAATAGAAACTGTTTTCTGGAATGCCAAGAGAGAATCACATGCAAGGACCAAGAACACTTGTGGGTGCTATCTGGCTTAGCCAGGGAAATAGGCATCCTACATTGAGAGAAAATGGTCAATGGCATTGAACAGCTATGGCATTCCAGCTTGTATCTACTTCTGTCTTTCATTCTGGACTGATGTTTTAATATACAGTAATACATCTCCACCACAGAGCCATACATACTGTATGTTACAGAATTGCACATCAATGACTCAGGCATATGATTAGGAGTCTGTATGTACAGTATGTGTTTTCCTGTAAGAATTTCATTTTCTCTGAGTTAATAGTTACAAAACCCAGAGGAGCAAACAGAATCCAGGGTTTCAAACCACATGAAAAGCCTTCAATCTAGCCAGCATTATATTTTACACATGGTATATCTGATTTTTTAATGTTGAATGTTACATTTTTATCTAATTTGTATCTAGTTTATACATTTATGCACAACCACAGGTGATCATCTTGTGAAATGTAGATCTACATATCTCTTTCTATACATATTGAAGCTCTAGTGTGCACCTTTGAAATAAAGCAGAAGGATGAGTTTGTCCAGGTTTTGTACACAGGAAGTGTTAAAAAGGAAAACGGAAATATATGGCTGATATTATCTTCTGAGAGTACTAAAAGCCACAGCATTATTATTGTCATGATCATTGTCATCATGATTCTTCTTATTCATGTAATTAAACATGCTCTCCATTTCTGTTATAAAGTGATTAATACATTTATATCATTACCTGTTTTGTACAATGGTGTTTCTCTTTTCCGTTATGTTCACAATGAATATATACTACTTTTCTGTATGAAAGCACCACAAAGGTTTTGGTTTACAATAATACATGTACTGTAGGTGTTCCTACTGTTTGCGGTATTTCTGTAACAACTGATTTTCTGTTGTTACATGTTTCATGGAACATCAATAAAAAATCTAATTTGAGAATTGGTTGCAATGATTTAATGCAACATATAATATGATCTTCCAGGTTGCCTGTGATAACTAGAAAGTACTGTATTCCCTATTCTGTCCATGTTAAATAATTATTCTGTTCTTGGAATACTGGAAAGAGGTAAGTAAGTAATATTTCTGTCTATAGAATTCACTATTTGTATGGTGAAAATATAGAAAGTAAAAAAAGAGACATGGATCTGGGAACCTCGATATTTATATATTTCCCTATATTATTTCAATGTCTACACTAAGAATTGCTTTACATATACAGTATCTTTAACTTACCTCATTTTAGATATTTGAATATTCTGATTATATAAACAGTGCGTGGTCACGCTGTCAATTCTAGAAAATAGACATGAAGACCAGACTGGGAATGCACGTCTTCTGCTATGTGAATAATATTAATATTTTAGCACGTTTAATGAAGTGTAGCTTTTAAGTGTGAGAATGATCAGCAGCCTCATCCTTAACCCTTATTCAAGCCCTAGCCCTACACCTAACTCCTGCACTAATCCAAACTTTCCCAGGAGGACACCACCAAAAAAGCAGACTTCAATTAAGTGGTTGAAATACTAATGCTTTTTTATGTTTAGCTGAAGAAGTACAACAGCCAGTCCAAAACAATTATATGAAAATGCCCAATACTTTCACTTTCAAAGCATGCTTGATGTCATGATTTACTGTAGATGGGTCAGAAGTACATACCTGTAACATCCCATAATGTCAAGTATATCATTATGTATTTCATCAGGATATGGTGCCTTGCAAAAGTATTTTATACCCAATGCTGTACCTTTTTGATGAATGATAAATGGGGTATTTACATTTTCAAAAGTGAATATTTTCAATAAAGTGAGAAAAATTAAAATTTTATCACCTAATAATTACTATATTAACCCTTTGAGTCAGTGGTGAAAAAACTTTGGCAGCAGTTGCAGCAGTGAGTCTTCTTGGTTAAGTCTCTACCACCTTTGCCCACTGAGATGGTGTAATTTTCAGCTGTTCTTCATAGCAAACTTACTCAACCTCTGTCAAGTTGGCTTGGGATCTTTAATAGACAGACATTTTTAAGTGTTGGCCCAGCTTTGACCCAGCTGGGTTCAATTCCGGACCTGGGGTGCTATCTATGTGGAGTTTATATATTCTTGCCATGTTCACGTGTGCTCCAGTTTCATCTGGGTGTTTCCAGTTTTAACGATGAGACATACCGGTAGCTTAATTGGCTTGTTGTAAAATTGGCCATGGTGTGAGTGTGTGTTTGTGTCTGTCCTGTGATGAAAGATCCCATCCAGGGTGTGCCCTGCCTTGTGCCTGTTGCTTGCTGAGATCCCCCCCGACCCTGAGTTTGATTAATCAATTAGGTCATTGATAGACAGATACTGGCCACCTTTGTGGAGAAATTGGGATATTGTTGACTCAGGGACATTTTTTCACCATTACACCTCTGTAGCTTTATCAGAGTTGGGTTGGCCTAACAGTGGCAACCCTAACACGTTTCCTCCTTGCCTGGTTGCTGAGTTTGGAGAGTCAGCCTGATCTAGGTAGTGTCTTGGTGGCACAATTCACCTTTCACTTCTTAATAATGGACTTCACCATGCTCAAAAGGATATTCAGTGTCTTTGAAACTGTTTTATAAACATCCTCATGTCTGCCTTACTTTAGCTTATTCCCTATAAACAATAAAGATGTTTAGAAAGCTCCTTGTTCTTCATTGTTAAATCTTAGCTTGAAATTCAGTACCTGACTGAGGAATCTTACAGAGACTGGTGTATTTATTCCACAATCTAAAAATAGTACATCACCACCTGATCTACTATTTTTGTGCATAGAAGCCATTTAACAAATTGGGTAACTTTTCAAAGTAATTTTGTGTGCCTGAAGTAATTTAGATTTACTTTAGTTGAGTTAAAACATCATGCTCTCGATATATTTAGTTTTTGAGTTTTGTTTGTAGTTTTTGACATTATATTACCCATAGTAAATACATTTTAAAGTGTTCAGGCTGAGCACTCATGGTTTGATTAGAAATATTGACTTAAAATGTCACTAAATTTACATGTGGAAATCCATGACTAACATTTACAATCTATGTTTATAATGTTGTCTAAATAATTTCTTCTCATGTTAGTTTTGTAGTTTGTTTCTTACATTACTGTAATTATCTTAAAGGTTCCTGTTACTACTTAAGGCCTCCTACTTATAACCTGCAGAATTGTTTGTACAGATGATTGTGATGAGAAAAGGCCTCCCTTAGCTGTCTTTTTTAAAATGCTAAATCAAGACACAAATGTACTTAATGCAATCATAAACATCACTTCATGCTGAAATAGTCTTCAGCCCATGCTTCCAAAGCTGAGAAAACCACTGTGGTTATCTCTAGTGTAGTTACCCTGCCCAAAATGTGGTTCTACTTTTGCATTGTTCTGCAAATAATGGTTTGCTACTAATTTGAACTTGATAACTAACCATAGGTTTGTCCTAGACTTTGTGTTTTGTGTAGTAACCTGAATTTGGCTCTATGTGTAAAAAAATAGTTTTGTGATTGACATTTATTGAAAAAATATGTTAATACTATTTTATGTAAAGCTGAATTATTACAGTGTACTTAGCAAATATACTTTTGCATGCAAAGATAGGGCAAACAGCTTCAGAAATTAACCTTGATTTTCTTTAGAAATGACTACTAAAGGGTGATAAATGATTAACTGTAACACTTTAGTTGCGTGTGAATGTTTTACTGTATTTCATAGTAAATTATCCTAATTATAATTCTAGTATTTATTAGGGATATGTGGTAATTCAGTACTCCTTAACAATAAATCTTAGAAATTGACTACCAATATAGTGGTGATTTTCTTTTGCATTCAGTTGTCAAAAAGACATAAGAGACCTGTAAAGACTTGGTTTATAGTTTATTTATAGTTCATGCTAACAATTGAGGATGAGTTGTGCCTTATGTATTAAACTGTCTCCATGGTAAACCCTATCTTGCCTATCAGAATTAATACAGAGGTCACAAAAAATATTCATTTTCTGGAGGAAACAGCTTGTAGTGATTTTCAAAGCATGCAACGCAGTATGATGTTGTCTCAGATTTTAATTGTGATTTTATGGATATCCTTTTTTGTATTTATTTTACTAACTTTGTAACTTGTGTCATTTTATTTATGTCTGAACTTATTTTTTTTATTTTTGCTTTTAAATGCACAAATCATTTGACTTAAATGTTCTAACCTGTAATAGAATTATATTTTTAAAGTCTCTGTTGTTTTGTGAGGATCCATTGAGGGAAAATAACTGTATAACAAAATACATTTTTAACAAAAGTGTCAAAAAATAATTATTTTAAAAGCTGCTGGCCTCCTATCAGATCAAGATCTAAAATAAGGTGTAAGGGATCCAAGTGATGAGGTATGAGGATCCCATGCAGATGAAGGAGAATGTAGATACTGAAACAGGTGTCCAATGCAAAACGTTAGGCGAGCTCGTGGTCAAAAAGCAAAAGGAAGTCCAAAAGCCGAACGATACCGAGACAGGCGTCCAATCCAAAACAATAGGGAAGTTCATGGTCAAAAAGCAAAAAGGAGTTCTGTAACCGAAAGAAGTATAGCAAGAGGGTTTCAAACAAAGGCAAGGTAGGAGCTCTCTAGGAGAGGAATCAATACCGAGCAGCGAGAAGTGAGTTAGGATGGTTTAACCCGCTGCTGGCACTGGTTAGCTCTTTTGTGGGTTGATCTCTGCTGGCTGGCGGTCATGACATAAGGTTTCATTCATGTTTCTGTTTTATCCTAGATGTTTGGAATAACTTTATAATTGAACTTCATACAGTTTATTATTTTCTATTGTTTGAAGACCTTTTTCAGATCTCCTTCAGCTACTGTCTGTAGGGATCATATTGACGGATATAATGTGGGTTATATCATTTAAATGTATCCTTATATCTTACGTTTCTCAGCCCTAGAAAAAGGTTGTTATTCTTCTCTGGACTTTTTCTATAGAGTTTTGTTTTTATCATTTTTATAGTGTGGTGATATGACTGATATATTGTATGTCAGATGCATTGTACAAATTCTCTCTGGATTTGGATTGGGCCCTTTGCTATGAAGTCAAGTATAATATAAGTCCTCTGAATATCCTCTCCAGGATGTTAGTTGATGACAATGATTGTTCCTTTGCATGACTTAATTTCTGTGCCATTTGGGTTCTTCTGGGTCTTTTCAGAGACCAAATTTACAGTTCTGGTAAACAGCAAAAGGCATTTGATATGTAATTAATCTTTACTTTTCTTCTTTGTGTTAACTCTAAGGATAGGAAAATGTACAGATAAGGAGTGAATGTTCAGTTTGGAATGTTGTAATTTCCAATGTAGCATGAGGAATGTGTTGGGAAAACAGCTGTTCCTGATTTGCATAAATAGTTCGGTACAGTTAGTAAACTACTTTGATTCATGAACAATGCCAAAATAAGAGTATACTGTACCGCATACTACGGAAAATGTAAAGGAAATACAAAAATACTTAGGACAAACCACTGAAAGATTGCATTTAATCTTGACAAGAATACGGTGTAACATTTTTAGTAGCAGAATCAAACTATTGATATAAGATGGAAAATACTGAGCTTTGAAGAAGATACCTAAAAAAGGTTTAGGTGTCTATGTTTTTAATCTTTAAAATCAACATTTTAATCTTCTGGACAACATGGGAAAGCAAGCAAAAAAGTCAAAAGGAATTTTAGCATATATATTTTAAAGTGTAAGAATTCAATCAATGCCATGTTAAAAATATGTAGTACATTGCAGCTCATTTGGAATATTGCATTCAACTTGAGCCCCCCACTACAAAAAGTATATTGTGATTCTAGAATTGGTTCAAGCAAGAATAACCAGATACATTAGCATGTATTCATTCCTCTAGACTAAGTTGGAGCATTTTTAGTCCTAAATAGACAAATATACAGTATGAAATAATGTCATCCAAGTATTCAGAGTATTCAGATAAAAGTAAATGTATTGAACTTCTGAACCAAGAGTGAAACTCAAACCAGAGGATAGAAAATACTAGGAAATACATTTAACACTACTCAATGAGATCCATAGGTCTCTTAGCTGCTGATAATCAGATGAGCTAGATGAGT